ATGCCAGACTTTGATTGGCTAAGGTTCTTAAAATTCCAAAGTGAAGATGGCTCATTTCTTTTTTTCTCCAGCCTCCACTGCCTTTGCATTCCAACAGACCAAAGATGAAAATTTCTCCAATTATTTTTTTGGTTTTACTCTTTTGTGTTCTACCCTTTAGTTCCCAATGTGTACCCAGTGAACTTGTTCGAGCATCTTCGGGCCACGGACAGGCTGCAACAACTAGGAGTTTCAAGGTACTTTGAGTCAGAAATTGAGGATTGTCTACACTATGTTAGCAGGTATAGCTTCTTCACTCGGATATCACTGCTCCATAAATTATTACCCATCATAAGAAAATTTATCCATAAATATCTACATATTACAGATATTGGACCAATAAAGGAATTTTATGTGCAAGAAATTCTAAATTTCAAGACATTGATGATACAGCAAGGGGATTCAGGCTTCTGAGGTTACGCGGGTATGACGTTTCTGCAGGTACAGTTTTCTACTTCTAAAAATATGATGGGGAAGAAATGCAAATGAAAAAAGTACGTTCACCGATGTTTGTTCACCAGTACTGTGCTATTAATGTCGAAGCCATTTTTGGCTTTCTTATTTGACAGATTTATTCCAGCAGTTTAAAAATGGTGAAGAATTCTTCTGCTGTGGTAGGCAGTCAAACCATGCTGTTACAGGAATTTATAACTTGTACAGAGCTTCCGAAGTGATGTTTCCTGGGGAAAACGTACTTACAGAAGCCAACAAGTTCGTGTCCAAGTTTTTACGTGAAAAAAGGGCAAATAATAAGCTCTTGGATAAATGGATTATAGCCAGAAACCTTCCTGGCGGGTCATTTTCTCTTCTAACTTTGAAGAACAAGTTGCTTATGCTGTTTTTATAAAATCCATATTCGTATTTTGTACCTGCTTTAATTTTTCAATAAACACGAGGATTATGTTCACGTCACTTGCCACAAGATTAGTAGCCAAGAATATTTTTCAGGTGTTTTTGGTTCAAAGTTGTGCCCGATAAAAAATTCCAATCTGAACATTTTGCTTCTTTAGTATATATAAATTTAGGTTAATGTATTTCAATTCGTCACAAGGTCTCGAGCTCTAATAACAGAATCTGATTATAAACTACAGGTGGGATATGCACTAGACGTGCCCTGGTACGCCAGCCTACCTCGTCTTGGAACAAGATTCTACTTAGAACAGTATGGTGGTGAAGACGATGCCTGGATTGGAAAAACCTAGAACAAGTACTGATGTGAGAAACAGTTTTTCTCTTGAAACGCTAAACCAGTTAATGCGGTTTAGGATTAATCTACTGTTGAATAGATAATTAATTAATCGAGCAAATTAACTACTTCAGATCATATTCCTATAACTCTCTATGATTTATTATTTAAAACACTGGATAGACTGCATATTTTTGCCATGTTCATCCTAACTGTGCTTTTTTTTTTATTCACTTTAGGATGAGATCTGTTAAAAATAAAACTCCTACCTCGAGCTGACAAAATTAGACTACAACAACTGCCAGGCATTGCATCAGCTTGACTGGAAAAACATTCACGAGTAAGATTCTGAAAACCTCTTACCATTTACCAAATAAGATCATTCAACAAATTTTCCAGCATCTACTTATTAACAGATGGTTCAAAAAATGCAATCTTGGAGAGTTCGGGGTGAATGAAAAAAGTGTCCTTTTAGCGTACTATTTGGCTGCAGCCACTGTATTTAAGCCAGAAAAGTCTAAACAGTGCCTTGCCTGGGCTAAGACTACCATTCTCATCGAGATAATTACTTCACATTTTGGCCAGAACAGATTTCCAGGGAGCAGAAACTAGCCTTTGTTGATGAATTTGTTAATGCAATTAGCCTAAATCTCATAAATGGTGGAAGGTAATTAGAGCACCGTTTCTTAATGCAAACGCCGTTCCTGAGTTTCTACTGATCTACTTAGACCATGGGCGCCCTGGTGAAACTGTTTATGCTTTACAATTAACCTTTGGTAATCTGTCAGGTATGAGATCAGAAGAAGTCTCATTGAGACTAATCGAAATCCTAAACCAGCTTTCATTAGAGACAGTTTTGGAACACAATAGAGACATCCATCAACAATTGCATCATACTGCAAGCCTTTCTTCTCTTAATATTTTATGCTGTCCCTACAAAATTCTAACCTCTTACTAACTAGTGTTCTTAACAAGCTGATCTTTTTAGATGGATTTAGCTTGATTCCAAGATTTTTCTTTTCTTCTTTTGGTGACATATAGCGGATAAAGTGGCTATGAAATTGGGAAGCAGAAGGTGCCATGGTCGAGGAGATGCAGAGTTGCCAGTGCACACGATGAATTTGAGTGGTGGCGGGTTGGTGGAGGAGCAATTACTGACTCATCCTAAATATCAACAACTATCAGAAATAACCAAAAGAGTCTGCCACCAGCTTCGTCTACTTCAAAGCTTAAAGATTAGAACCAGAGACGAAAATAGTTTCAAAATTGACATGGGAGGCATCACAACCATCAAGATAGAAGCAGAGATGCAAAAACTGGTGAAATTCGTACTCACAAAATCCTCATATGACATTGATAATAATATCAAGCAAACATTTCTTGCAATTGCAAAGAGTTTCTACTATGTTACCTATCGTGACGTGGAAACTATTAACTCACACATTGCCAAAGTACTCTTTGAAACGGTATTGTGAAGAAGATACAATGTTGAAAACCTCTAAAGGAAACATCAATAGCCCCAAGCCACAAGTAAATCATTAATTCTTGTAATATTGGAACAGCCTTCATAGAAGGCTTACAGAACTCTTACATGGAGGTAGGTCCTATGTGAATATTTTATTGCAAAAAAACCAACCCCTTGCCGTGTCTTATCTGGAGGAGTTCTGTGATCCATCCTTCTGTACATATAGTCTGCCTCCAAGTAAATAATCCACTTGATCAGCGTGATGTGTGTCTGAAGTATTTTGGAATTACAATATTAAAAAAAAAAAGAAGAAGAAGAAAAATCCAAAAGCAAATAAGCAAACTTTCCTTGGTTTTTTGTCCTTATGAATTGTAGATGAATGGAACTGAATCCGTTAGTCTTGGTCTTACGTTACTCCTAAGAATATACTCGAAATTTTTCTCAAATCAATGCTCTTATTTTCATCTCAAATTTGCTCAGATCTAGTGAATTGGACTAGGATCTGCTGGAGGTCGAATTGACCAAATCAAGGATCGAGATAACTTAATCAAAGGTCTAGTTGACCAAATTTTGTTATGATTTCTTAGAAGTGGCGGCCTTAAATACTATAGATGTTACAAAGAAAATTTTAATAATTCATAGCAAGCCTTTTTAAATAACAAAATAAAAACAAGGTATTATCTTTTTACGAACTATCTATCTCACATGGAATAACACATAAAAAA